AGAGAGAGAGGAGAGATGAAGGGGATGGGGATGTGTTGAGAACGTATGGAAGGAATGGGAGGGGGCAGATGGGTGGACAGGATTAAGATACAACGTTGACATGTATGAAACTGTCAAAGATTAAATAAAAGACATCCTGTTAGAAAAATCTGACACTGGGCTGGAGAGATGGCTCAGCAGTTAAGAGCAGTGGCTGTTCTTCCAGAGGTCCCCAGGTTCAATTCCCAGCATCCACATGGCGGCTCACAACTGTCTGTAACTCCAGTTCCGGAGGATCCAACACCCTCACACAGACATACATGTACGCAGAACACTAACGAACATAAAATAAGCATAAGTTTAAAAAGAAAAACCCGACTGATACTTGGCTGGGCTGACCTTGAACTGCTGGTCCTCCTGCCTCCATCTCCTGGGATTACAGAAGTCCATCACCGTGAGGTGCTAGAGGCTGAACGCCGGGCTTTGCCCACGCTAAGCGAGCACCCTGCCAAAGTGAGCCACAGCCTACCAGCTGTTTCTTAACAGACACCTTCCACGGGAGCCACCATTCTGCTCCTAGGACTACCCACAAGAAATGAAAATGATTGGGCATAAGAAGGAGCCGACAAGAGCAAGGCATGCTGGATGAGGCCGCGGGAGGCAGAGGCCGGTGAGGCCGCGGCCAGCCGGGATACAGTGAGATCTCATCTCAAAAAAAAAAAAAAAATTTAAATAAATAAGTGAAATAAATCAACCACTAATACACGTCCCTCAGCGTCTGTAGGGGCTGGCTGCACAACCCTGAAGACACCAGGCACGCGAGGGCTCAAGTCCCTTCCAGACAAGGGCACGGCCCCGTGTGAGCACAGAAGAGAACCTTCATGCAGCCTCTCTCGATTACAGTTTGGCACTAGGACGTTGAGACAGCCCTTCTGGCCTGGAGCTCACAATCTAGATTAAGCTGGCCTTGAACTTGCAATGATCCTCCTGTCTCCACCTCCCGAGTTCTGGGGTGACAGGTGTACCCCCCACCACCACACCCAGCCCTCTCCCCTGACATCTTAACTCTTCCATTTTATCTGTGTTTGTGTGTGTGTCTGTGGAGGATGTCCCCACAGGTCAGGAAAGGGCATCAGATCCTCCGGAGTTAAAGGTGACTGTGAGCCTCCACGTGGGTGCTGGGAATAGAACTCGGGTCTTCTGTAGGGGCAGCCATCCATCTCTCCTGCTCCCAAACACTCTGAACCATTTCCAAGTTACTTATACATTTAATACAATGTCAGTGTTATGTAAGGCATTCGACTCTAGGCCTCGGAGGCAGCAACTATTTAAATTATCATTTAATGACAAGAAGAAATAGCCCGCGCAGGCTCATAGAGTTGCAAATTTTTTTTTTCTTCTGAATATTTTCAAGGTTGGCTGGATCTGTAGCTATCGGGGCCAACAGCGTACCCGATGGCACGGATTAATCTCAAAACCATTTTGCCGGAGAAGAAAACTGAGCTTAAAAAAAAAAAAAAAAAAGAGAGCTCCGGCAGTGAACCTGCTGACATAAAATCCTAGAACTTGCAAACTAATCTAAAACATTATAAAAAAAAAAAAAAAAAAAAAAAAAAAGCGGCTCCGAATGCCAGGCGTGGCGGCACACACCTGTACAACCTCAGCATTCGAGAGGCTGAGGACAGAGGGTCATGGGAAGTTCAGAGCCAGCCTGGGCTACATAGTGAGATCACAGTGAAGGGTGGCCCCTCCCTCAGCCTACAGGAGACACCCTCCCTCGGCCTGGACCGCGGGGAGTTTACCCGGGAGGGGTCAACGAGAAAAATCAGTTTGCGCGGCTGAAATGTGAAGGGGTTGTGTGTTCCGTTTCTTTTGAGGCTCCATGCCGGTCTGTGGCCCCCACTGCCCGTCAGCTCATCCTCCCGACCCCCCCTACCCCCCATCACAGCTCACGGACCTGCAAACCTGTGATGGAGACGTGGTGAGACTCCACCGTGGGCCGCCGGGGCATCCGGGGAGAGGACTGTGGGGAGGTGGCTGGCGAGTAAGACACGGAGGGGCAGACGCAGCGTCCATTCATGTCCAGGCTGCTGCCGGAGGCTGGCCCACCCTGGGACGGCTCCTGCAGGGACATCTTGCGACCGGAAAGTAGGGGCCGTGCCTCGGCTTCCGAGGCATCCAGGGGCAGTTCCTGGTCCTCAGCCTCCAGAGGCTGGTCCCGGGCCAGGCTGAGGTCCACACCCTGGCCTGGCTCACACTCGGTGACCACAATGAAGGATTCCATGCCCAAGTGGATGCTTAAGGACGAGAGTCCCCGCAGGGCCTCACAGGGCTTCTGGCTTTCCCGGCTGAGACCCCCGCTTCCCAGTTCATCCTGGGGGGCCGCCCGGTCGCTGGTGGGCTGGCTAGAGACACATGATGACATGGTGTGTGTACCGACTTCATCCGCCAGGCCGGGGCACTTCCATGGGCAGCAACGGCTGCTGTAGAAAGAGAGAAAGCGTCAGCCAGGCAGGGACAGGAAACTGAGTTGCTCCTCTGGACCAGGCTAGTGTCTGCTTTGTGTCTCCTCGAAACTGGCAGCCCAGCATGGCTGTATAACACTTAGGAAGCTGAGGCAGGGATACCACCAGGAATTAAAGACCAGCCTGGACTACATAGTATGCTCCAGGCTAGCCTGAGCTACAGAGCAAGACTCTGTCTCAAAATAAAAAAAAAAAATGTGCAGCCAGTTGTGGTGGTACATTCCTATAATCCCAGCCCCCAGAAAGTGAGAAGAGGAGTTCAAGATCTGCCTGGACTATACAACAAGAGCTGTGTTTGAAAAAAGAACCTATTGCAAATTAGGATGTGATATGATCTCCCAGTCCATGGTTGGAGAGAATGTTCCATGATTAAGAATTAAGAACACTTGCTACTCTTCGAGAAGACCTGGGTTTGATTCCCAATACTACACCCATATGGTGGCTTATAAACTCGGTAACTCCAGTTCCGTGGGGAACTGATACCCTCTTCTGATCTCCAAGGACATCAGGCACACACACGGTGTACAGACATATATGCAGGCAAAAGCATTTCACACACATTAAAAAAAAAAAAAAAAAAAGCAATGTATTCTTTGCATTCCTTCTCACACACCATGACAAGGAACCCAAATTCAATTCCCCATAGGAAACAAGTATAAGGAGCCCCAGGAGATTCCCTATGGGTCCTTATAGGATTGGCAGCTATCTGCAGTGCCGCTCAGCGGGGGTCTGGGTCTACCACTGCCTGGCTCCCCACCCCCCACTTTTCTTTCCATCAAGCAAGAATCCACAGGGGCTGAACAGTAGCTCAGTCAGTGGCGGCGAGCTGGCCTTGCATACACAAACCCCTGGGTTTGATCCCCAGCACCACGTACAACAGCAAGGTGGACCACGTACAATAGCATGGTGGACCACGTACAACAGCATGGTGGACCACGCACAACAGCATGGTGAACCACATACAACAGCATGGTGGACCACGCACAATAGCATGGTGGCACAGCCTGTAATCCCAGCACTTGGAAGTGGAGGCAGGAGATCAGAAATTCAACGTCATTGTACTTAAACTACATAATGAAATTTGAGGTCAGCTTGAAATACATGAGACTCTGTCATTGGGAGAGACAGAGAGAGAGACAGACAGACAGACAGAGACAGCCAGGCATGGTGGCTCACACCTTTAATCCCAGAGGCAGAGGCAGGTAGATCTCTGAGCATGAGGCCAGACTGGTCTACACAGCAAGTCCCAGGACAGCCAAGGCCATAGAGAGAGAATATTAAGTGAAGTCTCTTGATACTTTGATATGTGTAGGAATGTGTATGAGTTCACATGTGCATACGTGTATGTTCAGAGGTCAGAGGTCAACCTCAGTTGTCAAAGAACCTTTCCACCTAGCCAGTGGTGTGGCACACACCTTTAATCCCAGCACCCAGAGAAACCCTGTCTCGAAAAGAAAAGAAACCAAATAAACAGAAGAAACCTCTCCACCTTGTTTTTTTTTTTTTTTTTGTTGGTAGTAGAGGTGGTAATTTTTAATTTTTAAAATAATAATAATAATCATTGTGATTATTATTATTGGTTTTTTGAGACAGGGTCTGGGTGTCTCTGTGTAGCCCTGGCTGTCCTGGAACTCAATCTGTAGACCAGGCTGGCCTCAACCTCACCGAGATCCGCCTGCCTCTGCCTCCTGAGTGCTGGGATTAAAGGCGTGCGCCACCACCGCCTGGCTTTAAATTATTTTATGTGTATGGCTGTTTTGCGTATATTTGTATGTGCACCACGTGTCTGATGGGTGCCCAAGAGACCAAAGAAGGGCACTAAAATCACAGGCACTGGAATTATCGGGGGTTGTGAGGTACCATGTGAGTGCTGGGAACTGAACCCAGCCAGGTCCTCTTAACCAATGAGCCATCATCTCTCCAGCCCTCCAACCTTGGTTTTGGAAAAAGGGTTTCTCAGTAGAACCTGGGGTCTCCAATTAGACCAGGCTGGCTGGTGAGCAAAACCTGAAAGCCAGCCAGCCGATCTCCATCTCCCCTGCTCTGAGCTTGTGAGCATGTGCTGCCCTGAGTCCTGGGCTCAAGCTCAGATCGCTGACTGTGGTATCTCTAAAGCTCCTGTTGACTTCTCTTTCACAAGTAAAATTATCTGGTGCTGAGAGGTGGCTCAGCAGTTAAGAGCACCTACTGCTCCTGCAGAGGACCCAGGTTCGATTCCCAGGCACCCATGCCTATAACTCCAGTTCCAAGGGATTTGATGCCTCTGGCTGCCACAGGTACAAGACTAACACACACACACACACACACACACACACACACACACACACACACGGTGGTATTGTGTTCCCCAAAATATTGTGCACCCTAATAAACTTATCTGGGG